TGATTAATTACTCTGTATTTTTATTTATGTATCTCTGAGGCTCCATAGCCCACCTTTCTGTTTTCCTGTATTATTCTAATGGGAATCGTCCCAGAATAAATAGTTTTATTATTATTATTATTAAACCGCAAATGCGACTGGTCACAAGCAAGTACAGAAGTATATTATCATTATGTAAAATAAAATTTCGTAACGACAAATTTGGACCAAGTTTTAAATCAAGAACACATCCCCTTCTCCAGTCAATGATGTCCCGCTTTATCCATGCTAAAATCTGATCACCTCATGTAAAACATATAAACCTTCCATTAATTCAAAAGAGTTTATCAAAAGTTGATCTTGGAAAGATTCTGTGTTGAAAATATATCTATTATTAGTTATTTGCGACAGATTGTAATATTTCTGAATAAATAAATAATAAAAAAAAAAAAAATTATTAGTTAAGTGATTTGGTATCAATTCTCGAAAACGAATCGAGTAAATACTTGCAAATCTCGACCGGCCTCTTGAAAGATAAGGAGAGTGGTATAAATATCTAGACGTGGGAGTAGAGCTTCATTCTGAACAGCAGCAATCATGAAGGTCTGTTGTCTTTTCTTGGTCCTGGCCGTGGCTGCCGTCAACTCCAAAGTCATCGATATCAACAAGTATGTCGATATTGGCTTAGACAAGACCAATGACTACCTCCGCCAGCACAGATATACCTCTGTCCATGTACCAAAAGGTGATTTTGGTTCTCATGTAAGTATTTAATTATATAATTTATATTTGAACAATTTTTATTATTATTATTTTATAAAAACCATAAACGATTTCTTCATTTTCTGAGTTATATATATATATATATATATATATATATATATATATATAATATATGCCAGGAGGTTAATATAGGCCCTATTTTACACATTATTCAACTGTTCATTTAATTGTACTACTCGCTTCTGAAATCGTATAACTGTAATTTACATATATTCTGTGTTATGAAGAGAATAATAATTGAGGTGATCAGTCAAATAAGAAGGCAAAACTAAATGTTTGACATTTGCCGACGTTTCGACCTGAAGTTCAGGCCTTCATCAGGGCTAAGAAAAGAACCAGATAACAAAGTATGAGAAACATAAGTAGAGTAGGTAAAAAAGTTAAAGTAAAATGAAGTTGTTAGAATAATCACAATAGTAAGAACTAAGAGATAAATAATAATAACCGTTACAAAGTGTGGATTGATTAAGTAAACAAAAAAAAAGTAAAGTAAAAATTGATAAAATAGAAAATTGAGATATTTTCTAGAATAGCTAGATAGAAATTTGAGATATTTTCTACCTATTCTATTCGCAATGTGATGATATTTATTTTGACATTTTTCTTCATCAGGGCTAGGAAAAGAACCAGATAAGAAGGTATGAGAAACATAAGCAAAATGAAGTTGTTAGAATAATAACAATAGTGAGAACTAATAGATAAATAATAATTACTGTTACAAAGTGTGGAATGATGAAGTAAACATAGTCAAAAAAGGTGACAACAGAAAAAGGAATATGAAGTTGTATAAGAAAGGAAAATAAATATGTTTCTCATACCTTGTTATCTGGTTCTTTTCTTAGACCTGATGAAGACCTGAACTTCAGGTCGAAACGTAGGCAAATGTCAAAATAAATAGTATCATTTATTTGTGCCTTCTTATTTGACTGATGATCCCAATTATTATTCTCTTCATTATTCACGACAGTCAACAATTTACCCACAATTATTCTGTGTTATGTTTGTTTTATGAAAATAAATTAAATGAAACGAATCCAAAGTTCCGGACAAATTTTACTTTCTTTAAAAACTCATATTATAAATCGTGCATATTTGCCAATATGTCACCATAAAGGCAAGTTTGTAAATCTTTACTAATTACTTGTCTAAGAAGTATCTAATTCACTGCTGTTATTTTTATTTCTTGTTTTTGATATTATCCATCAGCTGGCGGTATCAATAGAAATAAAATAATTAGTTTATTTTAGAAATAACGCCGTTTTTATTATTCATAAACGTTAATTATACATTTCAGGTATCCTTTTCCGATTCCGATGTCCTTGGCCTCGACTCCTTGAAGAGGACCGGCAACTGCAGTCTTGAGATCGTCGAGAAGAATGTGACATTGGACCTCCATTACGGCTTCGGATTCTTCTTACAAACCTTCAAATCCTTGAGGGTCGACGACAAGGACATGTCTGCCAGTATCAGGATCGGGGACAACTCCGTCCGTGTCCATTACACTGTCCACAACATCGGGCAACAGGGTGGCCGCTGCTCAGTAACCTTGCACGACCTGGGATACGACAGGTTGGCCAAGATTGACTTCCATACTTCCAGGCCTGAATTCGACGGACTCGACCTCGAAGATTTCTTCGCGCAGCAGGTCATCCCATTCTTGGAGAGCAAGATCGACAAACGTGCTGTAGAATTATCTTTGGAAAGATTTATTTGCAGACAACATCGCCTGGAAGTTTCTGAACACATGCCAATGCTCCATCAATCTGTTTTTGAAGAAATTTTCCCATCTCAACTTTGAAGGAACTTATCAATTCATATATAGCTATATAATAAATATTTGAAAATATATTTATTCATATAATTTCATTTCGTTATTTAACATAATAACCTTCCTCTATATCATATGTATCATATTATCTAAATGGAGAATATTATAATATGCCTTCATAAGGAATAAATAAACAAAAATTCCTTATAGGTTTTTATTTTTTATCTCCATTTGTATTTAGTTTACGAAGGTCCTGTTGATTATGTGACCCTAAATTTCATGCAGAGAGCTTAAGTCATATTAAAGTTATTACATTTTTTGTGATTTTCGAGAAAAAATATCATCTGAGGGAGGAGCCATATGTTAAGCCTGGAAACAGAGCCGAGAAGATATACCATCTTCAAAAAAATTCAGATTGCAAACGAACAAATGTTACTTTGTTTATGTCAGATTTTAACAATTAATATATTATAGAAGATTTTTTTTCATCTAATTTTACATTGATATTTATGCAAAAAATAGATAACCTTAAATACATTTACTGTAGGTTAGTGATAATAGATCTGATATTATATTTCAATAATTATTTATCAACGTAAGTTTATTCCGAAATATTGTCATGGAACTGTTTAGATAATTAAATTAGTGAATAGTTTCATAAATCTTCCCTTTCTGATATTCCAACAATATCCACTACTATTCCATTGTACTTGTGTGAAAGAAGTGAAATATAAAAATATTTCACAGATACGTTTATAATCTTAAATATATTTTCTGTTGTTTAATAACTCTAGATCTCATATTATATTTAAATATGTTTGTATCTATCGTCCGTTTATTCCGAAAAATCATCATATAACCTTTTAGAAAATTAAATTAGTGAATAGTTTGATGAAATTTTCTTTTGTGATATTCCAACAGTATCCACTTACAATTAGAGTGACAACTTTTGACCTGCCTATGACAGGCAATGCAAATCTCTTAATTGTGATATGATTACATAATTAAGACATTTGGATTTCTTTTAATGGATTACATAATCCATGAAATGATTATATATTTTACTTCTTTTTTTTCACAAGTGCAATGGAATAGTATTTTAACCACGAAATTCGCTTTATTCGGTGGATTTTAAATAATTGTTTTTTAATCTTAGTGAAACATTTAAAAGATTACATGTATTAAGAAAATTTCATTTAATTTCCTTGGAAACATGTTATTTAATATTAGTTTTCTGACATTATTATTTATAATGTCTTCGCTACCCTCCTTTAACTTCTACAACTTGATATATTAAATATGTTTCTTTCTAAAATTCTTCGCTTTCCAACGGTATATTGTACGCATACCTTCTGACTGGTATTCATTTTCGACCTGGATAAGCATTTTAATTTTTTTTCTCCTTTATTCAATTATCAAATTCTTTCAAAAGTTATATTTTGCATTTTTTAAATAAACTATATTAAAGCTACTTTAGAGGGAAACGTATATGAACATTGAGCATTTAAGCCCTGAAAAGTGACATAAATGGGGATAAGACCTGATTGATATTAAATACAACTTAATTATACAATGATAAACCGAGTTTAATCAAAATCGTTAAAGCCATTTTTGAGAAAATTGTAAAAATGAGTTTCAGCGTTGATATAAAGTGGCACTTCCGGTAAGCCGATTTTAAGGAAAGCATTGCTATCACTAAGGCATGTCCGTAACTTAAATACGTAATATCAGTTACGTTCGACTTTTAGTTTTCGAGCTAGATTGTTCACATACACACAGACCATTTTTCGGGACTTGGTTATTTGGACTCAGGGTATCTTAAAACGTGTATTTCCGTTGAAAACTCGGACTCGAAAATTTTCACCATCGCAATACTTACCTTTACTCTATATTACATATTTAGGTAAGTTGAAGTAAAAAGATAAGGGTGCTGCAGAAGTTTATAGAAATATTTGTAGTGTTTATGGGAATGAACCGAACACATCTGTCAAAATTGGTTTGTCAAATTTCATTCAGAAAATTCTGACATCAATGATGCTCTACAGTCTTGTTACCCACATGAAATTGAAACGAGCAATGTTAAGACCATTGTTGATCAAAATCCCACCCAATCAGTGCGAGAGATTGCTATGGCTCTAATTGTGTCGCACACAAGCATAGAAAAACAATTGTACAACCTCGGCTATGTTTCCAGGCTTAACATATGGCTCCTCCCTCAGATGATATTTTTTCTCGAAAATCACAAAAAATGTAATAACTTTCATATGACTTAAGCTCTCTGCATGAAATTTAGGGCCACATAATCAACAGGACCTTCGTAAACTAAATACAAATGAAGATAAAAAATAAAAACCTATAAGGAATTTTTGTTTATTTATTCCTTATGAAGGCATATTATAACATTCTCCATTTAGATAATATGATACATATGATATAGAGGAAGGTTATTATGTCAAATAACGAAAAGAAATTATATGAATAAATATATTTTCAAATATTTATTATATAGCTATATATAAGTTCCTTCAAAGTTGAGATGGGAAAATTTCTTCAAAAACAGATTGATGGAGCATTGGCATGTGTTCAGAAATTTCCAGGCGATGTTGTCTGCAAATAAATCTTTCCAAACCCAATTCTACAGCACGTTTGTCGATCTTGCTCTCCAAGAATGGGATGACCTGCTGCGCGAAGAAATCTTCGAGGTCGAGTCCGTCGAATTCAGGCCTGGAAGTATGGAAGTCAACATTGGCCAACCTGTCGTATCCCAGGTCGTGCAAGGTTACTGAGCAGCGGCCACCCTGTTGCCCGATGTTGTGGACAGTATAATGGACACGGACGGAGTTGTCGCCGATCCTGATACTGGCAGACATGTCCTTGTCGTCGACCCTCAAGGATTTGAAGGTTTGTAGGTAGAATCCGAAGCCGTAATGGAGGTCCAATGTCACATTCTTCTCGACGATCTCAAGACTGCAGTTGCCGGTCCTCTTCAAGGAGTCGAGGCCAAGGACATCGGAATCGGAAAAGGATACCTGAAATGTATAATTAACGTTTATGAATAATAAAAACGGCATTATTTCTAAAATAAACTAATTATTTTATTTCTATTGATACCGCCAGCAGATGGAAAATATCAAAAACAAGAAATAAAAATAACAGCTTCTTAGACAAGTAATTAGTAAAAATTTATGGTAACATTTTGGCAAATATGCACGATTTATAATATGAGTTTTTAAAGAAAGTAAAATTTGTCCGGAACTTTGGATTCGTTTCATTTAATTTATTTTCATAAAAGAAACATAACACAGAATAATTGTGGATAAATGGTTGAATGTCGTGAATAATGAAGAGAATAATAATTGGGGTGATCAGTCAAATAAGAAGACAAAAATAAATGATACTATTTATTTTGACATTTGCCGACGTTTCGACCTGAAGTTCAGGCCTTCATCAGGTCTAAGAAAAGAACCAGATCACAAGGTATGAGAAACATATTTATTTATTTTCCTTTCTTATATAACTTCATATTCCTTTTTCTGATTTACATTTTTTCTAAGATTCCCATTTAATACTTATGTCACCTTTTTTGATTGTGTTTACTTCATCATTCCACACTTTGTAACAGTTATTATTATTTATCTCTTAGTTCTTACTATTGTCATTATTCCAACAACTTCATTTTACCTTAATTTTTTTACCTACTCTACTTATGTTTCTCATACCTTGTTGTCTGGTTTTGCCTTCTTATTTGACTGATCACCTCAATTATTATTCTCTTCATAACACAGAATATATGTAAATTACATTTATACGATTTAGGCAGCGAGTAGTATAATTAAATGAACAGTTGAATAATCTGTAAAATAGGCCCTATATTAATCCCCTGGCATATATTATATATATATATATATATATATATATATATATATATATATATATATATATATATATATATATATACATAATTACATATATATAACTCAGAAAATCGTTTATGGTTTATATAAAATAATAATAATAAAAAATGTTCAAATATAGATTATATAATTAAATACTTACATGAGAACCAAAATCACCTTTTGGTACATGGACAGAGGTATATCTGTGCCTGCGGAGGTAGTCATTGGTCTTCTCTAAGCCAATATCGACATACTTGTTGATATCGATGACTTTGGAGTTGACGGCAGCCACGGCCAGGACCAAGAAGAGACAACAGACCTTCATGATTGCTGCTGTTCAGAATGAAGCTCTACTCCCACGGCTAGATATTTATACCTCTCTCCTTATCTTTCAAGAGGCCGGTCGAGATTTGCAAGTATTTACTCGATTCGTTTTCGAGAATTGATACCAACTCACTTAACTAATAATTTTTTTTGTTATTATTTATTTATTCAGAAATATTACAATCTGTCGCAAATAACTAATAATAGATATATTTTCACCACAGAATCTTTCCAAGATCAACTTTTGATAAACTCTTTTGAATTACTGGAAGGTTTATATGTTTTACATGAGGTGATCAGATTTTAACATGGATAAAGCGGGACATCATTGACTGGAGAAAGGGAGGTGCTCTTGATTTAAAACTTGGTCCAAATTTGTCGTTTCAACATTTAATTTTACACAATGATAATATACCTCTGTACTTGCTTGTGACCAGTCGCATTTGCGGTATAATAATAATAATACTTTATTTATTCTGGGACGATTCCCATTAGAATAATACAGGAAAACAGAAAGGTGTTCTATGGAGCCTCAAAGATACATAAATAAAAATACAGAGTAATTGAACTGTCTTGGTGAAAGAAAGAAAAATATATATACACAAATATACACATATACATATAAGTTGCTTTCCAATTTTGATCAGTTGATTATAAAAAAATAAAAAAATAGATAAAAAAATGTATTAAAAATAATGAAGAACGAACTAATAATTTAAGTACATATTTACAGTAGTATAGTGTGTTTTCTGATTGCTGTCTTTCTGTTCTTTTTGTTTGTTGTTATGTTGCATTTGTTTATTGTTATTTAACTTTTTTAGACATAGTTTGTTAATTGTAGTGTATTTTATAAGTGTAAGTAGTTTTGAACAGTGAGGTTAGAAAACCTCGCGTGGCTTTTCACTAGGTTTTGACTTCAGAACATAAAGACTTATAATATAATACAGTATTGTAATTAGAATAATTAAATGAGACCGAGTTGATCTAGGGGTGCTGACGTTTCGACCTACTTTGCAGGTCTTCATCAGGGCGTAGTATTTAGCACTGCGGGAGGCAGTTTAAAAACTGAATTATAATTAAAGAATACAATAGAATAATTAAAGTTCATCAGAAAAGGCTCTCTTTGAAATTTGGTTGTGGTAAGTTATTCATATGGTTAGCAGCAAAAATGGCGATACTACTGGTGATATCGATATAGATGATAATATTTTTGAACGGGTAGAGAAATTGAAGTATCAATATCTACGATAACTAGAAAAACGAAATTGAAGAAGAGATTAAGGTTAGACTGAAGGCGGGAAATGCTTGTTATTTTTCTGTGACAAAACTACTTAGCTCGCCTCTTGTCTCGGAACTTAAAAATTAGAATATATAAAACCATTACCTTACCTTCAGTGCTTACATTAAGGAGTGAGCAGCATCTTAAGGTTTTTGAAAATAAAGTATTGCGTAGAATATTCGGACCGAAGAAGGATGAGTTAACCGGAGAGTTCAGACGGTTACACAACGCTGAATTGCCTGAACTGTATCCGGGTAATCAAATGGGCTTGTAAATTTGTTGGGCTTAGTAACGACAGAATTCCTAAAAGGTTAATATTTGCTGTACCGAATGGTAAACGTCCGAGGAGTAGACCGAAGCGAAGGTGGGAAAATTGCATTAAAGCCGATGTGAAGGGACTGGGTTTGGACGGCGAACGGTGAAGGGAGGTATGTAATAAGCGATTGGTGGTGTCGGCATCGAACCTTCGGGTTCGCTAAGCCTTTTATTATTATTAAGTTATTCATAACCTATCTATATTCGTTTAATAAATTTCAGTATTGTATGGAGTTATCAAGGACTACCAAAAGAAAATTTTAGTGTCCTTCATTAGCAATGATTTTAGGACGTTCCCATTGGGACAAAAAAAGGAATTATAAAGACAATTGACAGATAACTGTTCCTAAGCTATTCTAAATTAGATCGGTTAGAACTGTTATTACTGTAGTAATTAGAGTTAAAATACTATTTACTATGGGCGATGGAAGAAGAGATAGAAGCTGAGGGAAAACCAAGACCTGCCTACAAGAGAGCCAGACATGGATCACCTGACATAACGGGGAAAAAATCGATTTCCTTGTTTCGGTTGATTTCCTTGTTAAAATTTTTCATTTATTTATTCATTTTTCTAATATCGATATTTATTTATTTTTTCTACCTCAATGCAATATCTGCGACTGTAAAATGTCGCAATGTAAACGGATCCGGTGATCTAGCATTAGGGAGACCACACAACACGAGTAAACATTTGCAAATCTCGACCGGCCACTTCAAAGATAAGGAATGGGTATAAATATCTAGACGTTGGAGTAGAGCTTCACATTTTAAACAGCAGCAATCATGAAGGTCTGTTGTCTTTTCTTGGTCCTGGCCGTGGCTGCCGTCAACTCCAAAGTCATCGACATCAATAAGTATGTCGATATTGGCTTAGGCAAGACCAATGACTACCTCCGCCAGCACAGACATACCTCTGTCCATGTACCACGAGGTTCTTTTGGTTCTCATGTAAGTATTTATTTATAGAATTTGAATTTTATCAATTTTTATTATTAACCGTACATATATTATTACAGTAAGGCTCGAAATCGGTTTTGTATCAAATATAAGCTTCTGTCATGCTCAAATACCATGAATGGGGTACCGTTGGAGTCATAATTTCACGGGGGGTTAGCGAATCGTATTGTCCACTAAAATAAATAAAGTCGGTACAAACATTTTGCTAGGCTTCAATACCTCAACAGTGGTAGGTCTGTAGATCGTTACGGGACAAATTAGATCTAAAAGATTTTGATGCGTACAGCAAGAACCGGAACTATCGGATCCTGCGGTTTTAAGCCCCAGCATTATTTTCGAGATAACGCAAGGAATAGGGTTCGCATCCACACAACCTTACATTAATTGCAGTACTGTCATTGAATACATGTCTCATTTTGTCGACTTGAGGTCTCTATGATCGAGAGAGGAGGAGTTTATATTATTTATCGATGGTGTTTTTGATCGGCAAGCCATATCATCGTCAATTTTTCACCAAATCTCAAGATTGAGCCACCAATTTCGAAGGCTTTCTTGTCCTTCAGGCGGACAAAATAGTCCAATCATCCCGAAAATTCAGGCCAGAAAGTTATAAAAGAAAACAAACTTTATTTGCGAATAACTAAAAACTTACACACTTTTCCCTTGGTTATGCCCGAGATTATATAAAAGATTACTTAATTCCCTACAAAAGGAAAAAAAAAATTTAAAAAAAATCGGACAAATTTTAGCAAAGATACATAAATTTGTAAACATGTTGGTTCCAAACAAAAATGAAAATTTAAATTAATTTGTGTTTTCTTTTTCGATTATATTTAACGATAAAGTAACGTTTGATTTCTTTATCTTTTGATAAGTTGCATTATTTTATTTTCTTATTAATCTGGCATTTGATAACAATATGCTGTGTGAATTTTTCGCACGGGCCTACTAGTTAATTTATAATACCCATAAACTCTTCTTTCATTTTGTGAATTATATATATATATATATATATATATATATATAAACATTTAATCATTTATATATATAAAAAAATATATATATATATATATATAAACATTAATCATAATCATTTAATTGGGAATAAGGTCACTTTTTGATTATTTAACAAACTACTAAATGTTCATTTCCTCTTTGTTTATTGATGTTTCGATCCCGGTATAATTTTCTTTTTATAAGTTAACAATGGGATCCTCTTGAAAGTTTTAAAAAATAGAGCTTCGATGCTTCAGGCCAGGGACACACCGACAGTCTCAGCACCGTCCACCAGCACATGTATTAAGCTACTCTTAATATATCGTAATAGTCGAAATAATATATATATATATATATAACACAGAAGCAATGGAGATTTAGTAGTTTATTGAATAATTAATAAGTGACCTTATTCCTAATTAAATAATTATGTTTAAATATAATACTCAAAGGTCGATTAAAGAAAAGTTGTAAATATATATATATATATATATATATATATATATATATATATACAAATATACATGCCAGTTTGTTACCAACTCCAACAAACTACAACCCCCATTTTACAAATTATACAGCTGTTCATTTAATTGTACTACTCGTTGCTCAAATCATATAACTGTAATTTACATGTAGTCTATGTATGTTTTATCAACATAAATTAAACGGAACGAAATTAAACAGTTCGGAAAAATTATTAATTTCTTTAAAAACTCATATTTTAAATCGCGCCTTGTGCCAATTCGTTACCATGAAAATGCGTTTATAAATTTCACTAACTACGGGACTAAGGAGTATGTAATTCACTGCTGGTATTTTTAATTCTTGTTTTTGATATTTTCCATCTGCTGGCGGTATCAATAGAAATAAAATAATTAATTTATTTTAGAAATAACGTCGTTTTTATTATTCATAAACGTTAATTATACATTTCAGGTATCCTTTTCCGATTCCGATGTCCTTGGCCTCGACTCCTTGAAGAGGACCGGCAACTGCAGTCTTGAGATCGTCGAGAAGAATGTGACTGTCGACCTCCATTACGGCTTCGGATTCTATCTACAAACCTTCAAATCCTTGAGGGTCGACGACAAGGATATGTCTGCCAGTATCAGGATCGGCGACAACTCCGTCCGTGTCCATTACACTGTCCACAACATCGGACAAGGAGGTGACCGCTGCTCAGTAACCTTGAACGACCTGGGATACGACAGATTGGCCAATGTTGACTTCCATACTTCCAGGCCTGAATTCGACGGACTCGACCTCGAAGATTTCTTCGCGCAGCAGGTCATCCCATTCTTGGAGAGCAAGATCGACAAACGTGCTGTAGAATTGGGTTTGGAAAGATTTATTTGCAGACAACATCGCCTGGAAATTTCTGAACACATGCCAATGCTCCATCAATCTGTTTTCGGAGAAATTTTCCCATCTCAACTTTGAAGGAACTTATGAATTAATGAATTCATATAACAGCCAAATAATAAATACTTTGAAAATATATTTATTCATATAATTTCTTTTTGTTATTTAACATAATAACCTTCCTCTATATTATATGTATCTATATCCTATAATCTAAATGGAGAATATTAAACGATTATTTAGTATTGTGATTGACATATATATCGATTAACGAATTGTAGAAATTGTGTTATATACGTGGCCTTGGTTCGGAAGGGTTTTAACTATCAGAATTAGACAAATAGTGTTATCACTCAGAAATCACTCTCAGCGAAGTTATTTATGGTTCCGAATGAGTTTCAGTACCACCAATTGAAAAATCATGAACACTTTAACTACAGACAACTTCAGAAAGTAATTTGTTTGAGAAGGTTCTAACTGCTATACCATGTAGCTGTTCTTTATTTGTAATTATTTTAATCAGATATAAACTTGAAATTATATTGTATAAAACAAATTTTAATCGATTATTTCAGAAAAATAAGTTGTATTTTAATAATTGTTAGAAAATCCTATATAACCTTAAAATTTTAGAGAAAAAAAAATCTTTGAAAAGGTGTAAACAAAAAAATTTTACTTTATTTATGTCACGTTTTAGCAATGGATATATCAAGGAAGATTTTTTTATTTTAAGTTGTTATAAAATATTTCTGTACTTTTTCTTAAATTATAACGATTTGAAAGTATACTTTTGCTTCTACAGCTGTCTATGGAACTAAAATACCCATTGGTAGCACTCTAATAAAGTTTCTAAATTAGGAGATCACGAGGCAATCTTCGTTTCAGACGTCTAGGAGGATGATCAGGAATCGAGGAGGAATTAAGGTTAGAAACGAGAGGATTAGGATGGTTCTGAATTTTATTATAGAAGGATAAGTACCAGGATTGGGCCAAATCTAAAACATATGGAATATTCAGGTCATTGTGGATTATTTTATTTGTTACAAAGTAAAGTAGGATTTTGGGTTGTAAATATTGGATACGAGAGGAATTCGATGGTTTAGTGGAACCCCAAAGCTCAACTCCATAAGCGAAATAGGTCTTATCATAATCATCTATATGAGTCTTTTGTAATTGACTGGCAGCTTAGATCGTTTGTCTAGTAAGTGCTGCAGTAATCGGAAATGCCGAGCGGTTTCTTGTCGATTCAGTCTGGTGTGAGGATTCCAAGTTAGACGTCCAGGTGGAGTCCTAGGTATTTCTTTGCCTTAGTTTTGTAATTTACTAGTATTTTGTTTTTTACTATTATAGTATTCATATTATTTGTTTCTTGCTTTTTTGGTTTATTATATTCAATAATCAACCATTGTGATCGACCAAAAAATTAAAAAACTTAACCCCCTCTCTAATTTGATGTTTCACGTTTCAGGATGCGGAGAATTTGAAAAACGAATAAAAAATTTTTGTCCGTCCGCCGTACGCGGTTTCTCCATAACTACTGGACCGATTTTTTTCAAATTTAAATATAAAATCAGAGGTCACCCGAGGATGATCCTCCTTCATCGACATTATTATCCGCCTTTTACTTTCAAAATGGCGGCCGAAAAACCTGCGTTGCTGTAGACTGTAGCGCCTAAACGAATGTAACAATTTTAATGAAATTTTGCTAAAGTCATTTTTTTGACGCCCTTTGAATTTATCTATATAACATACTTGCAACGAAAATCTATACAACGAAAAGAAGCTGGAAAAACAGTTACGAGGGATGGTAACATTAGATTCCAAGTAACTCAAAAAGTATACACTTCTTTGTTAATGTTTAATGTTTTTAAAAGTTTACGGAATTTCCTTAAAAAAAAAAAAAAAAATCGTTAAAATCGGACAATTAGGAGCAAAGATATGGACTCCAGTTTTTTTTTTTTTATATGTTCTACTCCAAATGTTATATCCTTTGTTTGGTTTTTAAGTTTTGAATGTGTTATTGAAGTAATGCTATTTTTTTTTAGAATATTACTAATGATTAAAAAAAAAAGTTTAGTCCAATAATTGGAGTCACAATTTATTTTTCTTTGCAACTAGAAGGTAATGTTACTTTAGATGTATAATTGTTTGGAAATAATAAACCATTGTGGAATATTATTTTTTGTTCTGCATTTTTTTTTTTTTTGTTCTGTTCTCCATGATAACATATATATGTATTGCTTAATATCATATTTGCTAATTACCATTCTAGATAGACAATTTATCTTGACATAAATATGTATCTTATAAATAAATAACATCTATAGAGAGGCTGTGTAAACGGATCTCGAGATCCATTGTTAAGGAGACCATCGGACTCTTGAGGTTGACTCATTGCGAACCGGTCTGTGACTCAGTCATTCTTATTTACGTAAGGATCTTGGCCAACAAAGACAACACAGTATGGCCTCACTTCTCTAAAGCGGACAATATTGTAGATATTGTTTCAGTATTGTGTATTCACGGGATGTGGGATAATGGATGCGAGTCCTTCACGGTTTTTTGTTTTGTTTGGTATCTTTTCACCCGTAACAATGGCCGCCAATTCCGAGTACAATAACCCTGGATAATAAATGCATTAATCTATTGTTCTTTATTCTCTAATAACACGCT